TTAAATGAAATAATCAATAAAATACTATTTTATAAAATGTAAAGTTAAAAGCATTTTAACACAAGGCGGACTGCAAAAAGCATTATAGCAGTCAGAGATGAAAATACAGCGCTAAAACAGAATGAATGAAAGGTAATTAATTCCCTCTAGAATCGGGCCAGAGAACGGGTCAACAAAGCCTTAATAGACAGGTGATATTTGGCTGAGGAATGGGTAGGTTTTAATGAGCAGAGGTAGAACACATACTTTCCATATTTACTCCATAGAGAAGTGGGTGAGTGTGTGCATGTGTATGCATGTGTGTGTGTGTGTGTATCAGGTGACTCCTCACCAGGATGTCACTTTGTAAAGAACAGGGATTTCCATTTGTTTGTTCATAGCTGTATTCCCAGTGCCTATAACAATGTCTGGCACACGATTGGTGCTCAGTAAATATTTACTGAACGAATAAATAAGTGAATGAATGAATGAATGGAGGAGATAGGGAATATCAAAAGAAATTTTATGAGTAAAAGCGTAGAAAAAACAAAGTGTCTGGTTCCCTTAGAAAATAATGTTGATGTGGGGAACCTGGGCAGGGAGAGACCAGGTTGCAAAGGAGGAGGAAAGAGATGAATAAGGGATCCAGGAAACACGAACATAAATAGTGGTGGCTGATGAGTATCCTGGTGAGCTCATGGACTTGCGGTGCCATATGCATGGCTGATTTGTGGAATTTCTAAGTATTCGAACTAAAGCCCCTAAAGCTGACATCTTTAGGTGAAACTGAAGGAAAAATGCTCCCATTAAAACATTGATATGAAATGCCCTGAGTCAGGCCTAATAACCAATCACCGCAAAGTTCTCCTCTGCACATCATGGGTCTTTTACAACATGTGACACACAACGGCAGTGAAGGAAAAAATGCATTTGTAATTATAATAAAGATGAAAACTATGGAAATCATCGGGAGCATCTGAATTCAAAATGCCAATGAATGTAAATCATGTCATTTGCATAGAAATGTGGCTTCGATACAGATATTGGTTAAAATTTGGAAGTAGATGAATGACGAATAAAATGCCACTTTTAAAATTATAAAATAAAAGTGTAATTACTCTTATCCTTTTGAAAAATCTCACTCTTTGAGATGCTTAAGAAGAGAAGAGGAATTGAAAATAAATTGGATGCTCAAGTCAGTCTGTACATCATCGCCTTTTTTTTTTTTAAATGTTAAGAAATGACTACCTAATCAGTATCTGTGATAATGATCTGTAATTTTACCAGTGTGGGATTGATGATAAATACCAAGTGCTGATTTTTTAATAACATGAAAAACAGATATACAACACATTTTCAGGTAGGAGTCAGCCAGTCCTCCTTAATGGAAACTTCACAGTCCCAGCTATTATAATATAACTCAAATAAAATCTCTTTAGAGATGTCATTTTAATGCAAATAACCTAGCAGCAGACTTTTAAACTATTGGTGCCCAAAGCTGATTTTTATCCAAGGCTCAGATAGTAAGAGTGTTTGAAATAATTGAGTTCTTGTCTAATTACATAACGACTAATTTAGAGCCTCATTTATTTGGAGAGTCTCTGGCATAGCAAATCCATTTAAAATGACACACAGAGCAGGTAATTAAAAATTAAAGTTGAAATCAAGATGAAAAAGGCAAGATGGAAGCTGGTTTCAACTGCTCTGATGAGTTGTGAAGGGCAGTGAAATGGGAGAGGGGCTTAATAGACTTTTAAAGAGGCAAAGAAAGAGGTAAGATGGTGGAACACAGCTCCCTAAGGCACCAATGACTGTTCGAATTTTTCCAGTATATGCCCAGTTGCAAAGCTGACCACATGCAACTAGGAGAGGTGACTTGATTTAGTGCAGATGAGTGTTTGGGATTCCCAGCCACAGGATGCCTTCCCCATGTCTCATGTCCTGAAAGGGAATGCCAGTCCTGCTGGCCAATAAGGAGAGGACACAGTATTCAGGTAAGTGGGGCATTATATACAGTGCACCTGGTCTATAGCAAGTTCTTCTGTATAGCAAGCTCGTGGAGTTGCTTGAGCAATATTATACACATATGCAATCAAAATGGTCCTTGATAAATGCATTTTACAGTTTGCTATTGGCTTCTCATTTCATCCTCACACCAGCCCAAGAAAGAACAAATACTTTTACGAGGCCCATTTTATAACTGGAGAAATCGAGGTCCTGAAAGATTAGGTAATACACCTAAAGTGCAACACACCTATGGTGCTAGAACTAGAAGTTAGCACTTTTGACTCCAAATCCCAAAATGTACCATCTCCCTGTTGGTTGACATTTTCTTACTTCCTGCACTCTTACTAGATCTTTCTTTCTCTTTTCTCCCTCTTCATTTTCCTTCATCTACTCCCTTTTCCATTTCTTTCATTTTCCTCACTTCCTGTGCCGTTTTCTTGCTCATTTCCTCCTAGTTCTATCTGTGCCTTGACTCTGCCAGCAACATCAGAGAGTAGAGCTCAGCCAATCAGATGTTGTCAGGTCTGAAGTCTGGTGATGCACTCCGAAAGGCAGGAAGCTTTTCTGTTTCTGAGGTTGTTTCTGCTGCAGCAAAAGCATTGCCGCCTGAGAACTAGTTGGAAGAAACGGAAGTATCTGCAGGGCAGAGTTAAGTACTTTTCTAAATCCTCCTTTTATGCCAGAAAATAATGATCTCACAGGTCCTCAAGTTCACATGGAGGGGGGTGATTTATGAAAGGATCTCAAAGATGTGGTCTTCTATAAGTTTTTATGTTCCCACTCTGAGCCCCAGAAAACACCCTCTCTTTACCCCCGCTCCAGCAAGACACTCGGGCTGTATATGAGAGGACCACTTAGAACACTTTGCTAAATCTGGATCATTCCCCTTGAGACTGCATAAATACATATTGGCTGAGCCGTAACACAAAGGTCCAGGCCTCTATTCCTCTCCCAAGGATGAAGTGAGCTCAAAAATGGGAGTGATGACTATTGACAGCAGTGTTTCTCAAAGTATGGTCCCTTACCAGAAGCATTAGGATCATCTGAGAACTTGTTAAAAATGCAAATTCTTGGGCCCCAATCCAAATCTGATGAATTAGAAATTCTAGGGGTAGGGCCCAGCAATCTGTATTAATAAGTCCTCTAGATGATTCTGATACTGGTTGAAGTTTGAGAACCACTGGTCTAAGTACACTTCCCATGAAAACAGCTCTGCTCTAGGAGCTAGAAGACATGAGACTTAGTCCTGGTTAGGCCCTTCATTCATCTAGGAGTGTGGGTAAATTGTGCCTCCTCTCCAGGCCCCATTTCCTCACCCATCAAATGAAGACGTGTTCCTTGGCGAGCATCAGGCACTCTTCTCTCATGCATATTGTGTGAGTCTTCATGGAGTGTGGTTTGAGGCAGCAGTGGAGTAGGGCTCCCAACCCAACATCATCAATATGACTTGCTCTTACTCAACAATAATCTTGCCTTCTTAAAGTCTTCAAGTTTATTCTCCAAGAGTCTCGAGTTAAATTATAGTTGAACTTGAGTGGTTGTGCCTCAGCTATCACCTGTATCATGATTCACATGTCAGCTAAGCTGGAGCATAGAACAGATGGTTCTTGAAGCGACCAGGCTCCAGAAACAAAGGGTAGGGCTGACCCCAGTGGAGCAAGTCAACAAAAACAATCTTCATCCAATTCCCAATTTCATTGAGGTCCAGCCCCAACTCTATTAGATTGAAATGTGGATTTTATTTTATTTATTTATTTATTTATTTATTTATTTATTTATTTATTTATCTATTTATCTGCTGAGGAAGATTAGCCCTGAGCTAAGATCTGTGCCATTCCTCCTCCACTTTATATGTGGGTTGCTGCCACAGCATGGCTGAAGAGTGGTGTAGGTCTGTGCCCGGGATCCAAACCCATGAACCTGGGCCGCTGAAGCAGAATGTGCCCAATTTAATCATTATGCCATGGGGCTGGTCCCTGAATATATATATATATTTTTGGGGGGGGCCAGTTATAAGACATGTTGCTATCCTTCCTTCTTGCTGCATTAAAAAGAATGTTTATCTAGAGAGATTGCTCTGTATAAAAAGAAGCTAACAGCCCAGCAGTGGTTGATTTATCAAGAATTTGGTTGTCATTCTGGGTCATTTGGGTTGATGCATTGTTAGAAACACTCAGTACGAGTCAGCCTGGAAAGAGTCCTCCGTGAGACTGTACTTTGACTCCCATCAGTAGGAATATCCACTTCAGCCTGTCAGCCACCACATATTTATGGAATCTCTACCACACGCAGGAACTGAGGGTGCAGCAATTAACGAGTTAGAAATGGTCCTTCCCTTGTGGAGCTGACAGTCCCGCAGGAACGACGCACATTGCCTAAGTATAATGAGTGCTAGGAGGAAGTGTATTGGAGCAAATTCACGGAAACTCACCTAATGCCAGGACTTTTTGTTAACAGAAAGAGGCAATGACCTCGGGGATGAGAGGGCTGCATTTTTTACCCTAGCATAACTGCAGGATGCAACACACTCCCATCAATAACTGTGGTTCTCTCAAATGAGTAGGGGAAGACAGCATCCTCCTCAGAGGGGTGCTTTCCATCTCCTCCCCTTCCTCTCCCTGTCTCTTCCTCCAGGATCACTCCAGTGGAGAGGGGCTGGGATAGGTATGGATATGTCAGGATGCAGGGGAAGGGTCGGTGTGAATGTTGTAGCCTGTAGCCTGACAACTACTTTGCACTAGCTGTTATTTTTAGCTATTAACACGGTTATTCCCTGCTCTAATATTCAGAAAACTGACAATTTTAAAAGGAATACCCTGTGAAATAGGTCTTCTTAATCAAATCCCATCATACACAAATTATTGAATTCTTGGTAAATAACTGCAAGGCTGTGATGGAACCTGAGACTAGAGCCTCCACCTGCCCTCTGCCTTGTGCACATCTCCCCGCAGCCATCCCATAACATGATGTCCAAGAGAAAAGGCCACCAGGTACAAAACCAGGTACACACTTACTGTTGTCCTCAGCAACACGACATCTGCTTCTTGTAAGGAGCACGGGACGCAATTTGCCCACACATACCAGGCAGGTCTCCAGTAAAACACCAAGGGGAGGATTCCAAATGAGAAGATGGATCCAGCAAGGCAGAGGGTTTTCCGGCAGCCATGAGTCCGGTAGCCAAATATCTCCTGGGGCAGAAGCAAATGACCCTGAATGTTGGTTAAGCACAATAAACAACAAATGAACAAATTGAGATTTTGGTGATGAAACTAGGGGCAGAAAGTGAAGAAGTTGACCAGGATGAGGGGACAACAGGATGAGATGTTGAGACAGTGGAGAAGGATCCCCGGCAAATTGTAAGACGTGATCCCAGGCCTCTAAGAAGTCACAGCTAACTGGGAAATTCTGTTTCTATGATTTGAGCACCCAGTCACCCTGTGCCAAGCACTATGCTAGGTGGTACGTTCTCTTGTTTAAGTCTCTCAAGCATCCTCTGAATAGGATAATGTTACCCTCATTTCATAAATGATGGGACTGAACTCAGAAAGGCTGAATGGAATGACTTGTCCAAGGCCACAGAGCCAGGAAGTCCTGCTGCCAAGATTCAAACTCAGGTCTGCCAGCCTCCAAATCTTGAGCTTGATCCACAGCCTTCACAGACATGACCACGAGCCACGTGACAGGAAGACTAGGTGACAGCCGCAACCACCGATTCCCTTGGCTGGGACCAGCAGCGGTGTGGGCAGGAGGGACTAGAACCAGGCCTTGAGTTTGGACTCAGGATTTGGTGAAAGAGTTTGGCCACAAGAGGATGAACAACTAAATGCCAACTTGCCTTTGGGAGTTTGGGGTAGAGCTTGGCATTCCCACCTCCTCTCTGGTTCAGTAACAAAACAAATTTTATGTCAAGGGAGAAAACCATAGAGACTATTTGATTTATTTCAACTCATGCTCACTGAGCACCTACTGTGTGCCATGTGGGGATACGAGACGCTGCAGGATACAAATACGAACAAGAGAAGAGTCTTACCTCTATTAAATTTATAATCTGGACAAACGTCTTCTGTCCAAGTAAAGCCTGGGACAGAATGGAAAACCATCCCTGAAGTTTACGGCCTCAGTCCCACAGATATCTCCCACAAAGCCACAGGGATATGGCTATAAACCACAGGTAAATGCTTATAACGGCTAAAATTGAGAGGAAGTAGAGTGTCCTGGTTAAAAGCACATTCTCTGGACCAAGACACTTTGGGTTCAAAGCCCAGCTCTCCCACTTACTGGGCGTGGCCTTCAGCAAGTTATTAAACTCTTTATGCCTCAATTTGTCAACTGTAAAGTGGAGGTGGTGATAGTACTCACTTCACAGGGTAGCTGTGAGTTTTAAATGAGTTAAAATATGTAAATGCTGTATAAGCATTTACTACTACTGCTGCTGCTGCTGTTGTTACTACTACTACCATTACTACCACTATTGCTACTACTACTATCGCCACTAGTAGTAGTAATAACTACTACTAGTATTGCTACTACACTACTGTTGCTACTACTATTACTACTACTACTACTATTTTACCATTTCCCCTGTAAATGAACATTCATATCTAGGAACATAGACCTGAAATTCTACCCCCCAGTTTACTGGCATTTAGATCTAAGAATTCCTAGTGTCAATAGTTCTGCTCTTGTTAGAATTGCCTGTTAGGATAACAAGGGAGCTGAAATATGCAACTTGAAATCCACCAACTGGATAAAGATTACGTTATCAGAAAAGTTCCTGTGATCCTACACAGAAGCTGATCTTGTGTAGTTATTAGGTTCCTTCCTCTTATTGGTAGCACATGCAGGTGCTGAAAGGCTTCCTTAGGTATAGTCGACATTTGATATGCCCTTGATAAAACGTTCACGTTAACTCAGACATAACAAGCTCTTGACTGAGTTTGCAAAGTAGAATGTCTATCCCGACACAAATACACTTCTGTCCCAAGCTTAAGCTCTCCCAATGCCAGGTCTGGAAAGGCCTTGTTCCCTCATCATGCCTGAAGCCATGCATTGTTGATCCCACACTGAGCAGGGTACCTTCCTAAATTCCATACCTGTCCCGAGTCCATCCCACCATCTTGTCCCATGTGCCTTTTTATATTCCTATACTTTGAAATAGATCAACTTCCACTCTCCAACCCAGGCATTTTATCACCTTTTTAAAATATTATATTTAAAAGCTTCCTTATATTGCCTTTATGCATGAATTATGCTCATTCTATAGCACAAATCTCCCTATTGCCATGCATTCTTTTACAGGCTATGCAATGAGAGGCCTCTGTAGTTTCCAAAGTGTCCAAAGTAAAGTAAGGAGGAATTATTACCTTCATTTTCCAGCTAAGAAAACTGAAGTTTAAAGTTATATGTAGTAGTTATTATTAACAACTAACTATTTGGTAACAGTAATAGCAGCTAACATTTATTGAGCACTTAAAAGCCCTTCACCAAGCACTTTACACACACTCTCTCATTTAGTGGAAAAACATGAAATAAAGTTTCCCAAGGCACAAAGTTCAAAGACTCAAAACTGGGCCTCCAGTCTAGACCTTTCCAGCTAACAGAAGATCATGTGAGCTCGTCATTTCTACTCTAAGGCTCTTCTCTCTGTCTTTAATTTCGGTTCAATTTACCAAATGTTTTTTGTGTCCACCAAAGAGCAGGCATGTGCTAACCACAGAGACAAATGCAGCAATGTCTCTAGCCTCAAGAAGCTCATTAGTTTAATAGGAAGAGAGACACATGAACAGATAAGATTAAACAAGGTTAGAGCAATGAAAGGGTTATATAGAGGGGTGACTCTATAAATTGTCATCTGAATGGGGTGCTATTGATAATAACCCTGGAATAACACAGGTAGACCAGAAGTGTCCCAGGCAAGCCAGGTGAATATCCCCTTAGTTATAGCAGAGTGTTCCTCCAAAAGCTTGCCTGCTCTCAGTCCTGTGGACACTATAGCCCCAGTTAGTAGCTCATGACCCAAAACCCATTGCCAAACTTTCAGTAGAAAGGTTGGAGTAATATCAACAAGGAGGGTTCAATTATTGCTTGTTGAAGTGGGTTGAACTGTATGACTTAAAGTGAATTGCATTGCAGGGATTGTTAATAGATATTGGGTTTTAAATTGCAAAACTTAGCATTGTGCTGTTTATCATCACCCCATAGCAATTGACTTCCTACATTATGGAGTACCTTCCATGTCCCTGAGTATGCTTGAGGGAACTATCCCTGCTACCCTGCACTCCACCCACCCTCACCTTCCACAAAAATGAATCAAATAGCCAAAAAAAGAATTTTGGGAAAACGTCAAAAGAATATTACACTCATGGCAGTCTACGTGCATTACAGAATAGCACACTGTCCCTTCCTTTATCCCCTTCCTACCCACAGATTCTTCTCCTCCCTCTGGCCCTGGGCATCTAGATCCTTTTCATCTCTAAGGACTCGAACTTTGGCTTCTAGGTGTCCAGGCCTTCTCCCCTGCAGAGTCTCTATACTTAAGAAGTCAAACTGTGCTCCCCAAAACAATGGTTTAAAGTACCTCAGCCAACAGAACCCATTACGACTCTATAGACCCTCTCCCCAGAAGGGGGAAAAATACACAGAAACACATACACATAAATGTCTCCACAGAGATTCAAGAGGTTCCCAGAGTGTAGGTAAGACCTCACTCTAGAGGGTTCTTAAGGCTGAATCAAGGCTGATCTTTCAGAGTTTGCACTCAGGACTTTACCTTAGGTCCTGACACTAGGTAAGCACTTAGTGAAGAGAGAACTGTGAAGACAGGGGCACATGGAAATGCAAGTGAAGGGACAACAAGAGAAGGGCATTGGTTTACTGTAAGAAGCTTCATAGGGTGCTATCATCACCTGGGGGCTCACCAAGTCCTAAGAGTGGCTCTCAGCCTTTAGTCCTAGAGACTGCCTGCAGAACGCCTCTCACAGGAAAGACTCAAATTAACCAGGTCTCAGAGACTGAGGTGTAATGAGAGAGTGAATTATGTATAACTGTCACACCAACTGGATAAATTCGTGGGTAGGTATTCACAGTTTGTACTTTCCCCAACAACACCATCTCCATAGTCAAGATTGTCCTGCCAATGGAATCATATGCAAGCAAAGTGCTTAAAATGGGCTCTGGAATCTTCTCTGACCATCTCCCATCTTGACTGACATGACTCCTTTAAACATATTAATTCATTCAATCAAATTACAGTCAAATCCTGCTGGCCTGGGAGCCATTTATACTCTTTAAGATGATGCATTTCTCTATTGGATTCATTAAATATTTGAAAGTGTAAATGATTCCTTTTTTAAAAGTTTACCTCCCTAAAGATAATCTTTTCATTTATTTCCAAACTTTGGGTGTGAAAAGAATGTTTCACTATAATTTCCACACACTACAACAAATTGTGCTAAATGAATGCAATTTACCCCACTGCTTATCCTAACCCCAAACCCTATTCAAATTTCTGCCTCAGTGGTTTCTTGTTTGCCTCTCTTTTATGGAAAAGGTTGATTTCCTAAGCGTCCTCTAAGTAATCTGACTTCCATATCCAGGTGAGAAATTCTCAACCTGAATGACATAATCCAGAAATCTTTAAACTGGAGGCTCAGAAAGAATGGCTTGCAGACAGGTTTCTTCTTGGCCTGCTAAGTATTTTTTAAACTTTAAATTCTAAGCCGCACAGTTATTTTCACGTAAAAATTCTGATTTCTACCTTTTCTTGAAAATAAATCAGAAATTGTGACCACATTGTGCCCACATTCTTGCACTGTAAGACTCAGCTGGAGAGAGAGCACCAAGAGACCTGTACGAAATAACCCAGGACCTAACCCAATGCCGTGCAGTGAGACAGAGGGTGATGCACTGCAGTGCATTCACACAATGGGATCTCACAGAGCTCTGCAGACAAATCAACTCCAGCAACAGCTGGCAATGTGGATGACTCCCAGCAATGTAATAGTAAGTGAAAAAAGTCAGTGCAAAGGATTACAGCAGCGTGATAACCTTTTAATAATGCTAAAAACAACCAAAACTTAAAATATATTTTTAGGATACACTAAATAAAAGAAAACTATATAGAAAAGAAAGCCAGGGAATGATGAACACATGTTGCAGGGCAATGGTTACCTCCATTGGGATGAGGCAG